CCGTCTCTCTCCCGCTCCAGCTCCCCCATGGCTTGGACCAGGATGTCCCAGGACAGGCCGGACTCGAGCAGAGCCCAAATCAGCTGCTGCTGCAGGGGGGTCAGAGCGCCGGGCCGGGCCTCGTCCTCTCTCTCCATGACACGCACCGTGTCTTACCTCGAGCGGCCGCCTGGTCAACAGAGCCCTGCTGTCATGTGCACGAGCGCGCGCCCAGACCGCAGCCGGACCGTCAGTGTCGGGCCTCATTATAGCTGCGTTTATCACTTCATTTTCCCTCGGTGCGACTTCGGAGCTGCCCCTTGTTTTAGCTCTCCACCTGCTGTTTTCCTTTCAAAGGTCAATTTTCTTTTTTTTCTCTTTTTTTTTCATTCTTCCTCCTCTTTTCCTCCCTCCCCCTCACATGTGCTCGGTGAACTTTGTCCCTACTCTGTCTGTCCCCGACAGTGGCCAAAGTACAACACACACACACAATGTGAATGAACCCTTTTTTTTTACTGTAAATCACATCCTCAGAAATTGTGTTTAAATTTATTTAATGTTATTTTTGAAAAGTGCACTGCGCGCGCGCACCTACAAACACACGATCACGACGTTCACCGGATGTCACAGGTTCGATTCGGAAACTTCAAAATAAAAATTTCCAATCTTTAAAAACGGTCACAGAACGGATGTGGAGTAATGTTTACTGTGTGTGTAGATATTTTCGTTCTCTTCCGGTCGCGGGTTCGTATAGTTCCGGGTTTTATTTGAGCGGTGACGAATCTGCTGTTTGAGGTCAAAGTAATTTCCCATTTTTGAGTTAAAGGTATGGGGTGAAAAAAACAACCTAATTCTTCAGATTTGGTGCGGGGAAAACATGACGTGACCTAACTTTTACCGCTTGAGGGCGCTATTGTTCCGCGTACAAACGAGAGCAGCCGGAAATGGACCAAACCTGTATGATATTTCAGAGTTACAGGATTTAACAAAAATTATAGGAATAACAGATAGAATACTTTTATTGGTCAGGATTTAAAATATATATTAAAAAAACATAAAATGTAACAAAAATCAATCGCACAAACACATTTAAACGAGAAACGTCTGCTTTTAGCCGTTTCGCCACAGAGAAACACTTCAAACCAACCGTCGCCGAGTTCTTTTCATGGAGTTCGCGAATGTTCTATGAAGTCTTTTTTCCAAAAAAAAAAAAAACATTTTTAAAACTTTTTTTTTGTTTGTTTGTATTTTTTTAGACCAGTTGCACCCGCTGGTAGTTACACTGTTACTCTGTAACACCAGTGTAACAGAGTGACATCAGAACCCTCGGCCTGATGTGCTAAATGCTAATGCTAAATGGTCGCTATTTATACATCAATCCTTTTTAAATAAAAAAATCAAATCAAAATAAAACCTGGATAAAATAATTAAAAATTAAATTTATAATTTATTTAATGTAATTTATTTTTATCCAGGTTTTATTTTGAAGTACCAGAGGACGTGTCCAGTTCCAGGTGGTACACGGACCGGTGGAGTCAACGTCGTTACTTCCTTAAGTACTTTGTTCCTCTGGTCGGCTCACCTAATACCCTACACCTTATCCCCAGGTCCGGTCTTTCTGCACCTTTTTTGTGTGTGGAGCTAGTGTTACCCCACCTTTGGGAAGATGACATTATAATGTACACTCACCGGCCACTTTATTAGGTACACCTGTCCAACTGCTCGTTAACACTTAATTTCTAATCAGCCAATCACATGGCGGCAACTCAGTGCATTTAGGCATGTAGACATGGTCAAGACAATCTCCTGCAGTTCAAACCGAGCATCAGTATGGGGAAGAAAGGTGATTTGAGTGACTTTGAACGTGGCATGGTTGTTGGTGCCAGAAGGGCTGGTCTGAGTATTTCAGAAACTGCTGATCTACTGGGATTTTCACGCACAACCATCTCTAGGGTTTACAGAGAATGGTCCGAAAAAGAAAAAATATCCAGTGAGCGGCAGTTCTGTGGGCGGAAATGCCTTGTTGATGCCAGAGGTCAGAGGAGAATGGCCAGACTGGTTCGAGCTGATAGAAAGGCAACAGTGACTCAAATAACCACCCGTTACAACCAAGGTAGGCAGAAGAGCATCTCTGAACGCACAGTACGTCGAACTTTGAGGCAGATGGGCTACAGCAGCAGAAGACCACACCGGGTGCCACTCCTTTCAGCTAAGAACAGGAAACTGAGGCTACAATTTGCACAAGCTCATCGAAATTGGACAATAGAAGATTGGAAAAACGTTGCCTGGTCTGATGAGTCTCGATTTCTGCTGCGACATTCGGATGGTAGGCTCAGAATTTGGCGT